TCTGAAGGGTTGTACTGTGCAAAATACTTGACAAGAAGTTACTTAGGAAAATTTTGTTACTAGAGATAGGGCATTCCCCTATCTCTAATAAAGGAATAGGCTTCCAAAGGAGAAAAATGACCTACCTAGATAGGCAGGCTAACTCCCTTCTAGCATTAGAAAATTATGTCTGATTTTCTAGGAAATATTTAGGCTTGCCGCTTAAGTTTTTAATCTCTGTGTTGGGAAAAATTCTAAATGCATGGCTAAGAACAGTGTAATTTCATTTTCAAGATATTGTTACATACAGCTTGTTAAAGAATATTCGATTTTGCCTTCTTCTGCAAGAGTTAATTCAAGAATTTCTCTGCTAAGAAATTGGCTCAAGAGATTTCATTGACATATGAGGCAGAAAGTTTTGGGAGAAAAGATTTTTTTGTTTTTTTGTTTTTTTTTAAGCAAAGCAAAGGCCAACTGAAATAGTGCCAAGGATTTATTATTATTAAAGAACCATTTTCTCACCATAGTTATGAACATTACCAATAAATCCACTGGCTCCTCCTTTTTCCAAAGCCTGCAGGTCTGTTATATCTTGTTCCTGCTGCACGTGCAGCGCTTAGTCCCTGAAATGTTCTGTGCAGGGCACAACAGACCACAGACAATTTCAGGTTGCTTTAAGAACCTACCAATAAAGGATAACTGGTCATTTCCAAATTGGATGTCACAGTATAGCAATAGTCCTTAAAGGCCAACATAAGGACATTTGTTTTTTTGGTTGGGCTGCTTAATGATGAACCACTGAATTTCCTCTTTGAATATTACAATAGCCCTGTTGAAACTTCAAGGATCAACACTTTACTAAATCCTTTTGCTTTCTTACCATACTTGTGTAACAAGAACATGGTCGGCCTGGTAAACCAAAATAGATTGCAAGCTATTCCAGCAGACCATCTACATCTCCAAACTGCCAACAAGATTTGGACCAAAGCACCATGAATCAGAATGACTTTCTTTTCTTCCCTGGTAATGATATGATCAAATTTGTCCTCAAGCACACAAGTTTGCAGATTTTTGAAAGCACTCATTTTATTAATGGTCTACAACAATACTTCATTTCTTTTTATAATCTCAAATTTACCATAAATAAAAATGCTTACTCTTTAGAACTTTACTTGAAGTGATCAGGAGACTGAAAGGAGAAAGATGATACAGGATTCGTATCACAATGTGATACTTTAGTGGTCTTTTTCCTTTTTTTTTTTTTTTTTTTTTGAAAAAATACCAACAATGCCAGTAGCAGACAATTCAAGACTTGAGACAAAGTTTGTGTATTTTGAAGGTAAATTCAATTTGAATTGTTTGCAGGTGGCATGGTTGAAGGACTCAATCACCAGAATATTTATTGTTCAAAACAATGTGACAAATGACTACTTGGCTGCAGTCTTGTTACTTCATAACACAGAATTTCATGAATTTTCCAAAAGCCAAATTTTATGAAGGCAAAACATGGACATTAAAATCACCTCCCCATCACTACTTATCCACCACTTCCTACTATCTCAGATAAAAATCTTTCAGTTACTCCACCTTGACTTTGACTAAACCACCCTTGCGGATCTGCCCACTGTAGCACAGTCTAAAGCTGACAGTGCAAGGGGAAAAAGGTGAGTAAAACAGGAAGCAAAACCAGTGCTACTTCCTGTTACATTAAGGCACATAGTAGATCTCTATGCAGCATTTCTTTACTATATGACAAGTCTGAAGAGGAGAGCTCCTCACACAGATTACAAAACCTCAGGTCAAGCTGGGTGTTACTTTCTATTAAAGTGCAGAGGAAAACCTGTGGCAGTCTTTGGCAGTTCTCAAGCCCAGGTACCCTGATGCCATCCTCTTGAGATGTTACTGCAGGGAAGCCTTGTACATGAGTACAGACTTGCACTGAGGGCGAGGACTTCACAGCCTAGGAGAAGGCAGAGCCTGTGGGTGGCAGGCAAGCCAGCTGCTCCATACACAAAAAAGACATCTCTAGCATCCAGGAATAGAGAGAAGCTTCAACTAGGCTGTAAGACCTCATAGCACCTACAGTTCCCATGGCCTGCTTGGCTTAATACCCATGCAAGCACCCCATTGTACTTGTTTAAGACCACTTTACTTCCCTGTTTGCATGAGGCAAAGTTATAAACCCCCCTCATGTTGCAAAACTCCCCAAACCCAAGACGAGATGCTTATCTGAGACCTAGACACTGATAAACCTGCACAGATCCTCATAGCTTGTCTCTTGTAAAGCAGTAGAATGAAGAATTTCTATGAACTATCATTAGATAATAAAAGCATTTTCAACATTTTAGTATCTGACAGAATCACAGTACAGACCTAAGCATTTCCATCCTTTGTCTGCCAGCACATCTCTTCTTACCCATACTCACTATTTAAGCTTTGACTCACTAATGTAGTGCTGTATGCATTCATTCAATACAATCACAGCTAACTAGCAAGGATAGTTTTACAGCAGCAGTGACAAACACCGAACAAAAGTGACTGCGGTGCTAATCCTAAGTTTCACTGATGTTCCCAGCTTTCTGACCAAAGTGAGTTTTTCTTATGTAATTATGACAAACTCTTCAGAAGGAAGATAACCCTAAGCCATCTGCCTACTGGAGAATTCAATTATTTTGCAACACACTATACTGGTCTGTAGTTTTTAAAAGGAGAGAGAGTTTCAACTGAAAGCATGAACAGCAATGCACAACTAAATTGTTTTCTCTGCATCTCCAGAGAGCTTGTAAACCCACCTGATCCTGCAGCAGAAAGTGTGTATCATCTTCAATAACAATAGTAGTCTAGCACATTTTCCCTTCTGCTCAGGATACCTCCCTGCCCTTTGGGATAACATCTTCTAGATTAGAGACAACTTGGAAAGACATATTTGATATTAGTTCATCCCTGCTGCACAACTTCAGCCCACTCAAACAGGCTAAGCCTTTTGCTGCAACTGCTCAGGCCAAAACACCCTCTTCCTCCTCCCTCAGAGGATAAGGAGGGCACTGAAATGTCTTTGTGCCTTCAACTGACTTGGAAGAATTTAGGAAAATAGGATTCTCAGGCAGAGAAATAGGAAAGGAACGCCCTCCCCTTTTTGTTTTGGGTCTTGGAATGGGGACAACTATTTTCCTTATAATTAGTTGCACTGTTCTCCCACCAAATGGTTACCACTCTGCAAAAATCAGTGCTAAGTTCTTCAAGCTATGCTAGAAAGAGAAGGAACTTCAAAGACAGACTTAAGTATCATTATGTATTACAAGCCAACATTATTCTTGAAGTATGATAGAGAAGAAAAAAAGAAACATTCTAAAGCAAGTCAGTCTCTTGGAAAGTACAGTATCTTTGCATTCATACCTCAGAAGCTGCAAAGCATGCAGAGATCTCCTCATTCTGAACAGTTTGCTCTCCATAGAAGTAAAGCAAGGAGACCTCTGAGGAAGGGAAAAAAGTTATCATTCAGCAAATAACCAGATTACCACCTGAAGTAGAGAACCAATTTAGGAAAAAGTCTGTTATAAAAGCTTCCATGTATAAAAGTTTGTATGTATATAATTTAGTAGAGTTTACCCAGGAAGTCCAGAGAACATATAGAACACCTGAAATTAGTCTTGAATAGATATTAAGCAGAAGCTTATTTTTAGCTTAAGCTGAAAGTTAATGTTCATGGTACCTGTATTGTTATTAGAGAGCATTTTATTTAACAGTTAAAAGTCTTAAATAAAATGCAATACCCATAAGGGATCAGTCACTTAAGTGTGATGTGCCTTTTACAAATGAATCTTAGCACGCAAAAGCAACTACAGAAATACTAGCACTGAAATTTGGCCAGTGATTTAGTAATGTGTCTTGACCATTCCTCCCATGTTACAAGTATTTTCATTAACAGGCAAACATAATATTCTTTTGTCTAAAGCCTGTAGTGAAAACCTCTCTGAACTCACACTGTGAACTTGTTCAGCTAACATTGACACTTGTGGTATTACTAGAGGACTTGAAATAATTCACTGCAAGCAAATAAGAGTGCTTACCATTACTTACATTAGGCATCGTAACACATCAGAGCTTTTTTCAGAGCACTGGTTCAAGGAGAAGGGAAAAGGATTAACCTAATAAAACTAAATAAACTTCTAAAATTATGTCTTGCTGGAAACTAATGCTTACAGATATTAGTCAACAGAGCAGAAGTTTCCAGAAATAGTTTAGCATCTAGCAGAAATTGTTTAGCATCTAAATACAGAAGCACAAGAAAAGATCCTTGAAGTCTCACAAGCGTTTTCAGTGTTGTTCATAGCCCTTTAAAGCGAATATCATGACAAAAACAATTAACTGTTTCTATATCTACTTCTCTGTTTCCATTTTCTTCAGACTCAAGATTTTTCAGTCTTACTGCATGTCCTCAAGTGTTACAGAGGTTAATAAAGACCTTGTTTCCTAACAGACAACAAATTAAAAGGCACATGCTGTTCCAGGTATCACTTTTGCACAGGATAAGACCAGTTGTCAAAGATTAATCCAAAATCCAAAAATTTAAATGAGTTTAAAAAAAAAAGTAGGTTTTTTCCTTCCTAACCACTTCTGGCCATCAGGCATGACCACCCAGACAATCTGATTCAAGAAATTCCCAATATGCCAATTACTAGAAACTATGCTGTGGAAAGACACCTCTGTACCTGCCCCCCTTGTCGGTCATCTGCAGCTGGAACAAACAGGAAGACCAGTTAGCACAATATCATAATTTTATTTTAGTACCCAGAAAGGAAGCTTTCATTCGTAAGCCAGTTATGGTAAATAAATAAAAAATGATAGCTATTGTATCCTCTGACCCAGTTCCAACGCTACTAGCGATCACAACTTAAGAAAGCTTAGCTGACCACAATTAAATGAAAAATATGAATATATATAAACCAGCTGTCTTAGACAGCATTTTTATTAAAAATGGATACACAGAGACATAGCAGCATTTACAATAAAGAATTTTAAAAGGCATCAAGTTGTAAGCCAACCATTTGAAAAAGAGGCTTTGAAATACAGTCTTCCACAGCATTTATGCCCATTTGTCAGTAGGGAACAGAATGACTCCAGATTTCCAATGGACAGACAGGCACAGTAACTAATCTAAACTTCAAGCCCTTTTTCTGAACAGTTGGTCACATCAAGCATCACCCTCCTTAGCAGCATTTGGAGCACTCTTCGGTGTTCTTTTAAGTGGCTGGTGTACTTGATCCATTTATTTAAAATATTTTAATGTTCAATAAAAATATTTCATATAGAAAAAATCTTCTGTCACAAAAAGGCAAGGTTTCCTTTTCATATTCTATAAAAGCTTATGAACTTCACCGGCAGCATTTCCATATAGGAGCAGGAGTTAGAACCAGCAGAACAGGCACTTCAGCAAAATTGTCTGTCAATATTTTCCAGTCATATGGGTTGTAATCTAGCAGACTGTTTCTTACTACTTTGTGGTGGTGTAAGGACACCGCTAGGAAAAGGTGAAGTCCTATTTTGCTCAGCCAATATGGCTTGTTTTGCTTGAGCTTTGTCCTGAAAACACAGGAAACAGGAGAAAAAAAGAAATCGTTATTTTGGTATACCACTGCAACAGTGCATTATAATAAAGTGTTTCATAACCCAGTAGGCTGCTGATATGAATATGCATACCTATATCCAACCTCTTTCATGGTAACTAACAAATATCAAACCTACAGTACAAACAGTTAGTGAATATAAGCCCTAGGAGATAAATACTAATTTTTGGATTCTCTAAATCCACATTATGTTACTTGAGCCTTCAAGACAGCAAATTTCAATAGTTACAAATTGCAAAAGGCTTAACTCTTACTATACTTAAGTAAATTGAAAAGAAATGCTTGGTAATCTTTTAACCATAATCTTTTGAACAAGACTTTGGTCCTCTGCAAGCTTCTCATGCTAAAAACCACTGTTGGTCACTTATTGTGAACCACTGTTCCACAGCAGTCCCTCATGATCAGTCTCAAATGATTAGTCTCTTTCTCCCTCTTGATCGGGTAAGAGCTTATATTACCTGTATTTCCTGTAGAGACCGTTCTAACATCTGCAATATTGCAAAAGGCAAAAATACATTTCCCATTTCTGGAGTAACTATTTGTCCTTTGAAATCAGAGCCTTAAACCATAATCACCTTTTTATATACCAAATAATGCCTAAGTCAGATCTTGATTCCAAGGATTTTCTATCTGGAGTACAACCTTATGCTTTTTATTGTTTGAATACACTCACTCTCAGTATCAATTTGATACTGTTTTCACTTGAATTTACTATTTGGTGTAACCAAAGAATAAACAAGAGTTAGAAGTTTACAGACAACTTCTGTCTTAGTTTCCCAAACACATACCAGCAAATCCAAGCTGTTTATGTGCGTCTGTATATTGTGCAAGTCTTCAGGAGCTATGCCTCTAAAGTGTTTCAGTTTGGAGCTTCCTACTTCCCTTATAGCCATTGCAAATGGAACCATCCACTTTACACATTCCTCTATCTCACACCATTCATAACCTGGAAGACAAGATGTACCGTTAAGCTCCCACATTAAAGCAGCTTTAGACTTGTGTATAAATGCCAGTGATACTTACCTGAAACTTTCTGCATCAACTCGGATGAGGAGAAGTGGTACAAAGCAGAAGCTGCAAGTATTCCATATGTGTACTCCAAGCAGCCAATATCCAGCACACAGAGATCCAAGAGCTACAAGGCAACACATGCTTTGTAAGTCTACTACGAAATGGAATTTTTTCAGATGATATATAGAAATTTTAAGGATGAAATCAGTCCTACCTCTGCTATTTGTACAAATATTTGCTGTGGATATTGTGGCAGCAGTACCTCATAAAGCTCATTTAAATAGGCAACTTGCATGTAAATGTTTAGCCATGATACAACTGTCAATGGATTTAAGTTCCAATTAAGAGCCTGAAAGAAGATATGCACAAGACTTAGTTAACAGTTCTTAGACCATGTAACTTTATTTACTCTTGATGGGAAACTGTATTTCCAATTGCTCAAGGCACCTTCAGAACACACAAATTCAATCCTCCCCTGTGCTCTCTCCCACTGATAGGGTGGTGGAATCAATTCATTTTGTCAATATGCACATATTAATGGATGCTTTAAATCATTTGTTACCTAGAGAAAACTGGTTTCTAATTAAAAAAGAGTGTGTCTTACTAGCATACAAGATTAACTGAGGTTTTCTGCTTTTAGACTGCTTATGCTTTGTTTTAAATAGGTGCAGCTACCTCCACTTCAAAATATTACCTTCATAATGATTAATTCCATACTGAGGATTTCATCTTCTGTGCAAGCTCCATCTGTAACATAGGCAAACTGGTGCAACTTCGGTGGATAAATTTCCTGAAAGACAGGAATAAGTTAAGGAATAAGTTGCAACTAGTTCCATGTGCCAAAACAAGAACACCCCACACCTTCAACATCTCAAGATTTAAACTAAACCAAAACAACCCTGGTGCCCTCCCCTGCCTCCAATGAACAACTTTTTGGATGACAACTTTACTGTCCATACTCTTTACCTTTCACTTCCAATGGATCAGTACAACATGCATTACATTTGAATACAGGACTACTGCAGTGATATTACAAGTAAATTTTTTTTTTTTTTAAATACATACTAAGGAAAAGGCCTCTTATCTCTTGTAATCAAGTGTGGATCTAATGATCACATATACTTGTATTGTTTAATAATTTTACAAAGCTGTAACCTTGCAGATAATGACCTGCAGTCCTGTGAGAAGCAGACCAAAGCTAATTAACTACGAATGCTCCAATAGGTAGTTAAAAGACAGTAGCATCAACAGAGCCAATATCTGTACTAGATTCCTCACATTAAAGGTTACAACTCACACAGGGTTGAGAAATATTGTTGGCCCAAGGTTAGCCTTGAGAGATACTGCAGGGAAAGGAGACAAAGCAGACAGGGCTCCTCTAACTCCATCATTAGAATTTAATTGCTTTTCAATAGTGAGGAGACTGTTTGGCCTCAACTACTCAATAAGTAAGTTTTGCCTTAGACACACAGAGTTCACTAAGTCTTGTGGATTTAGGAACCAAAGAATTTATGCTAGAGAAGAACAGGTTGAAGATTTGTTTTCCTTGAGATATGCAGCAAGAACTAAAATAGCATTATGTATTTTAAGTTTCATTTTTCAAGTAAATAAATAGCTCTTAGACTGTATTATCCAGTAGATAATCCACTAACAGTGTTATTTCAACAAGCAGTCCCTGCATAGAGCACCCAGCCACAAACTCATTTAAAAAGAGCAATTAGAAACCTTATTTTTTTTCAATGTTAGAATAATTCCTTTAATCTTAAGGGAGATATACTGTGGTGTCAGGTAGTCTTAATTTTAGCTACTTCTAGAACTCCTAAAGGCAAGAAATATTTTTGGGGTCATCTCTCAGCTCAAAAGCCATATTAACAAGCTTCATAAAGCCTGCCTACATGGATCTAGTGTACAGTACACATGCTGTCTGTTCTTTCACATTTTTGTTTAGGTAAAAGCCAGAAATACTTACCTCAAGCTTTGCTGCTATGAATAAAGAAGAGATTCCAATAAGCTGCAATAGTGTTTTTACAACATTTTGTTGTGTTGCCATAAACCGATCAAAGAAATCTTGTGCTAAATAAAAAGTTTCTCTGTGAAGCTTATAAACCTCACAAACCTGCAAAGAAACGATAATTTACAATGGACAAGAACAGTTTGAGAGTCAAAAAAGATGCTATAGATTGATTCAAAAAATGCAAGAGCTAGAGATATAATTCATGCTGGCTTTGATTCATTGATATTAACACGCTAAGAGCAGGAATTTAAATGTTTCTTTTGACTCACAAGATTGCCACTACAGCAACTCTCCATGAAAAGCACATGTTTTAATAACATGAGAACATGAGTTCCTTGTTTTTTGCAAGCATGCATCACTCCAACAACTCAAAAGAGCAAATTCTCACAACTTTATCATTAAGAACAGTGACTACGCTAGCATGTCATCCGAACAGCAAGAAATACTCACATAACAACAAGAGCTGAAATATATTCTACACATCAGTATCAGTGCTAAAGATGTTGTGAGATGCATCTGGTCTCTAAGCCACCATGTCTTTTTACAGTGAGTGCCACATTCTTATAGCTTTTATCTGCAACATGACCTTAGAATGCTAAAACTGTGCTACCTTACAGATTAATCGATAATTATACATTGTCAAGCTAAATGAATACCAGAATATGCTGTCAGTTTGTACACCAGCAAATCAAAACATATTTTTAAATTCTGTGCTACTCCCTAAATTAAGACAAAGATGAGTATTTAGTGCTAAACCAATAACACAAAGATTGTGAAAAGTATCAATAGCATCTAGTTATTAGAACACTTCAACAAAAGACCACTGAAACACTCACAAGCAGAAAAAAGCTTACCTCCATTAGCCAGTCAAGAAGGATTGTTCTCATTTTAGGTTGTAGAAGAGGGTGCCTTTGCATATAAAGCTTATCTCTCACATACATCTCCTCTTTGTTTATCATATTTTTCCATACATCATCTCTGTTCGCCCAGCTAAAATAGATATAGGTGTTTAATCTCAAAAGAACACATAAAAAGAAGGTAGGCAAGCAGTAAAGAGACACACTTACCCCAGAATTGGTAGTGGTGAAGCTCTACTTGGATTAGCGCTTAGATGAATAAACTGAGAGTAATCAACACCAACGGGATCATCATCCTTATCCGGAGTAGGAATCAGGGTATGAGGATTTTTGTGAGCGTTATTCCAAGACGGCTATGAAATGAAAGACAAGATTGAACATTGTGCTTTAAAATACTCATTTTAGCTTTAAATAGAATACAGAAGTTGGAAAGGAACTGTGATTCTCTTTAAACTGTTCAAATTGCTTATTTTCACCTTTGGCAGATTTTATTACTAAACGAAAATAATTTTTACCCTATTTTGCTTTTCAAGAACCTCATGCATTACATAAAAAGCATCCAAGTCAGTGTCTTTTGTCACATTGCACTTTGCTTCATCAGAAATATTTTCCAGGAAAGCAAGTTTTTAGCCTTCAGGTAAGGAATAAACAGATGGAACTTTAAATCCTAATCCATATCACTATACACATAGGAGATCAGAAATTATGGCAAGGAACATGCAGATGAAATACCTAGAATTTCATGCAAAATGTCCTGGGAAATGAATACCAGCAAAAGAATAATTTACAAAGTTTTCTCTTAAGTCTCAATTCATCTTATAATGCTTAAGTGGGAGGAAAAAAACAGGCATTTCAGATTATCTGATTATTTTTGGAACAAGGACATGTAATCATGTCAATGATTTTGTATACAGAAATTTACCAAGGTCTGCAAACATCAGACATCCAACACTTCATTTACCATGTCTTTTTACTTGTACCCAGACTATAACACAAGTTCAGCTTTCCTTTTCTTTAAAGGTTGCTCATCCTGGCTGACTTGGCTAAAAATGATCTTGCTGTACACTTCCTACTATTTTGCACAAAAATATTCCTTCAAGTTTTGCTGTAACATAATAGACTGATGCCTATCACCCTGACTTTGCAAATTAATTAAAATTTGGCATCTCCATTTAACACTCAAGTCAGCCATCTTGTTGCAAACTGACCTACCCTGCAGCCCTGGCCAGAGAGAAGTCCTCAAAGATTCCTAACGTGCTTTGAGGGTAAAGCAAACAAACAAATGAAGTCAGAAGAATCATTATATGTCTGCAAGTAACATTTCTCTACATGAAATACCACCTCTGGTGAAGACGCTTCCAAGCCTTTTTGCACACTGCTCCTGTTACAAGTGACACCACTTTCCAGCAAGATGGCTCCCCTTTAGCACTAGCTTCGGAAACAAAAACCACTAACTTCAGAAACAAAAACCACACTGCACAGTTTACTCGTACTAAAGACAGATTTGTACCTTGAGTTACTGAGACAGATAGGTAGTTTTTCCTCTTGGAGTTCTGCATGCAAATCTACTACAGCTACTTATTTGCTCTATGATACCACCATACCACAACTTAATTTGGGTGGTGGAGGGGAAAAAAGAAGGATCTCTAGCTGTAAAAGTGACAGATTCCTTATGAACTGAAAGTTTGAATAGAAGTGTCACATCAGCATTGCTGTAGGTTAATTTTTGTCCTCCCCCCAAGCCAGACTTTAGTCACACTTTGTCCTCCAAACTGCATGGCAGGCCCAGCTGCCAACAGCCTTCTGAGAAGCCCCGGCTTATCAGTTAATCAGCAAACCAATAGAAAAGCACAAGATTATAGAGGATTGATTTAAAGGCGCCTACTATATGGGGAACTTCTAAAAGCAAATTTGAAGTTATCAGTATCACAGGGAAGCAACAATGACAATCTGATTTAAGAAAGATCCTACAACCCCACATATTTTACAAGGAAATACATGTAAAGACTCAGAAGCCTCGTAAGTGCTTTGAAAAGAAGCGAGAACAAAGTCTTGGCCTAGATAATGCACCTCACCACAGAGAGCAGGGAACGGATACAAGCAACAACATTTAAGTACATGTAGTAGCTAGAAAAATAATTGCAACAAATGCATAGGGACTTCAAAGACAAGAAACTATCAAGAAAGTAGAGAGAAGCCTTAACTAGCTTGAGAGGGGTCACCATAGCTTTGGCACGTACTGTGATTGAGAGAGTGGGAATTCCTGATTTTTTAAAGCATATTTAGCAAAAAATTCAGCTGAGACTACCAAAAGATACCAAGAAGCTGCATGACCCTGCTTTGTAACTGTATGGAAATAAGACTGCTAAAGTGTTTCTTTTTTTCAATGGTAGTTTAATGCAAGGGGGGAGGGGAAAAATATCAGGAAGAACTTCCTTTGGGCTTGCACAAGAGCCAGCCCTGAAGCCAAGAGCTGCAGTCTCTTCGGCAGACGAAAGATGACAAATTCAGCAGCAAATCTGTGCAGCCTGCTGGAGGAAATTCTATGGCCCTAAGCCTACTGCAGAGGTGAAAAGGATCCCAGCTAGAAAACTTGGCGACACCCACAGTCTTATTCCAAAAAGGAAAAAAAAAGCAAAATGAGGACATGCATAAGCTCACATGGAGGAAAAACACCAGGAAGGGCAGAAAGTAGGTGACAGAACAAGTCCATGGGAACAATCAAGCACATTAGCTCCAAACAAAGAAAAATGTCCAGGAGTTCAGAGGCTTTTTGCTCCTATGTGGCACCAGTTCTTCTACAGCATGCCCTCATTTACAAATGTATCAAGCATTCACTTAAATGAATCTTTTAGACACCCTTCAAGCATATACTCGGATATAAAACCAAGCAGTTTGGGCCATTCAGGCTATTTTCATGCAATTAGAACCTTCAACAAAGCAGCTAAAACCAAGAACACAAGGTACTGAGACACCAGGGCATCATAGCACCGGTCAGGAGCACCAGAAGAAGCTTCCAGGGGCTTGAGGAAGCAAGGGGAAGGAGGCTTTTCAGCATGGAAATGGAGAAGAGCAGGAGCTGAAAAGAGAAAGAGAGCAGGAGAGAGAAAAAGTCTCTCCGTCTTGCCCTAAAAAGCAGCATCTCCGAAGAGACATCACTGTCAAGCACTATACCACAGCGTTCTTATTTTACCCATCCAAAGCAGCAATTCTGGCCACTTCTCACAGGAGTATTTCTTCACCCATCAGAAAGGGGTTCTAGAATTACCAAATAGGAGATATAGGAACACACATAATCAAGCTATTCCAATTCATTTTAAGCAGTATAGAAGTTTGTGGTGTTTTTAAATCTCTAAAATAATTTTAACGTTGTCCTTCCTCACATTAGTGCAAAGTCAAATTCTCAGCTTTTATATAGCTCACATCGTCCACTTGTTTGAATACTTTCCTTTTTTGATTAGATCTTTCAAACATAACCTAGACTAGTAAAACAATCTTGTCAGATGATATCTTTAAAAATGGCAAGGTGGCACATTTTGACAACTGTTAAGACTGTTCTGGAGAAGCAATTAGTGAAAAATTAGCAAAAATTATTTCCTGGAAGTTCATTTCCCCTCCCCACCTCTTCAATCTGAAGATGCAGATTAGTTTCATCTTAAAATTTCTTATAATTTTAAGTTTCAATATCCCCACTCTAGACTTGGCGACCATGAATGCTGTATCAAGATTATGTGGGTTACAACAATCTACTTAGATGAATTTTGTTCTACATAGGGTGTTTTTCCAAGGGTACACTTTACTCTTGGAAGTGTATCAGTCCACAGAACATAGCCAGAATTAATATGAGAATTACTAGCAGAACTACAGCAGTGCCAGTTCTCCAAAATCAAACACAGAATTTAAGCAATATTCTGCTGTCACAAACCTGATGATATAGCCACACTTTCAACACATAAAGGGTAACGGTATCCTAATTAAGAACTCATGCCTTATGTTCAGCAGAAGCAAACTAATGAATTGAGCATGAAGACGCTATAAAGTGGGATGTGACTATGGTATTTTGCCTCATATATACACTAGCATCAGTAAACAATTTATTTAATGTAGAAGTCACGTGGTATAGGCTGCACTGGATTTATAGTACTTGCATTTTAGAATCAGTGTGCCACAACAGCATAACTATCTCACTGGCTATCATACAAGCTTGCTATACTGCTGCTGGAACCATAAACATATTCTCATTAGTGGCCCATGGCAATTTATATCAGAGAATAGCTTGTGTCATGCCATAGACTGAAGAGCTGCTGCTGTGCAGCCAAATGTTAGCTTTTTTAAACAGATCTGTAACAATCTGGCTATTTTGTTACGACAGAAAATCTTCTCCATGTATGGACTGATAAAGGTACTCCTTTATTTATTTTACGATTTACAGAACCCAAGGGCCTAATTCCCACCAGTATCCTAAGCTTAACTTGAAAAAATCCTGAATCTATTTTGAAATGCCTACTGCCTAGATCATCTAAATTTTTCTATGTCCATCCTTCATGAAATAACATTTAATGGCTGCTAAGCCAGTAACACAAAACACTCAGAACTGGAAGCCTTTACTACTGTCAGTGCTGAAGGTCACTATACATAAAAATATATTTCAGGTTTCTTTCCACTGTCTTTCTGAAGGAGGGTAAAACTGGGCCCATATTTGGATTTAACAGTATTTATTATGCAGTAACTGCATGCAAAAAGCCATTACTTAGCTCAAGCAGAATGAACCCTTTGGTGAAGGTAGAAAACTGTGGTGAAGGACAAGCAGCTCTTCCTTGTCAGAAGTGAGAAATTAGTTTAATATACTGCACAAAAGAAAGACAGAAGGGAAGGAGAGATACCCTCATTAAATGCTCACCATTTGAGCCCTGCTTAATATGTTGACTGATAACTAGTATATGCAGTTGCAACAAGCAGAGGCCATTCCACACAATGATGCCCATCTGTTATGGTAGCACTTTAGTCTTAGAACTTGCAGCTGCCACTTCTGGTTAGACGTACCACATTATGCATAGCCTTGCACACCAAATGAGTCCTGCCTGTATTCCCCAATCATGACTTCTGCTGTTTAAGTACCACTCCGCATGTACGTTAACTGGCTGAAGTCCTAGAGGCCAAGCATGCATGTGTGTACACAAGTACAGACTTTCTTCACATCCTGAGAAAGGGAACAAACCTATTTTGGGAATTAGGCTAATCTTGTTGCTTTATTTAGATTAGGCACCTCAATGTCCAAAAGCATCATTCAATAACCAATGGCAGGTCATGTCTGAAGACTATGAAGATGACACTAAAATAGAAGTTAGTTCAGACTTCATAACACAGGCCATTCTAAGTATCTCACTTAGGAAATTGCTGAAGGCCAATACTAGCCTCCACTGACTGGCCCAATTTCCACAGCCTAAGTAGAAGTTATCCCTCTGTTCTCTACGGGAACTACGTCTAACAGTTCACCACAACACTAGAATCTAGTGCTGTAAACTGGTAACCTCTAATCTGTAACCGCTTGTTTTCTGACAGTTCAATAGTAATCATAGGGAGTGGGAAGGGCCTGACAGTGAATGATCCATCCTTCCCTTGTCCCAACTTATGTATAGATATGGATGCAAAAAGGTCGATCTCAAGAGGCAATTCTGGTCACATGCTTAAGTGTCTCATGCTATGGCCTGCAAGATACAGCAAGATGTAAGCAAATTGCTGTACTTTTCCAGTCTCTAGAGAGATCAATATAGGGCCTCCAAACACTGAGCTATATGCATATTAAGGCCTTTGCAAGTAGAACCTTTGCAATCCAAGGATAGCTTGATATGCTGAAATACTAATAGGATGTTTTAGACCAACACAGGCCTTGTCTGTTGCAAGGACTTCCAAGCAAGTTGTAGCAACTGGGGAGCTTTGTGCTTTCCATCATTGGTGCTTGACAGTGCTCAACCATTGCTACACAGCACATGGTAGCTGCACATGAGCCTGACTGTGCTCAGAGTGGTAACAAAGTACTGGAAAACAATAACAACATTGCATTAGGCTATGTATTGCAGTGACCTAGAGGCAAAGCAGTTACCTGGCTTTCATACTGCTTTTTCCTGTTCATTTCTATTTTGGCGACTTCTTCATCCGGATCCTGCAAGAACTGCGGAAAGGCAGAGATAACTTGGGGTCACAGTTACGGATGAGGGGCACACACACCGCCCGTGACAGACCCACGCTGGCCACCCGGGCAGCCACATGGCCCCGGGCGCCCCACAAAGGCGGCGAGGCCGGGCCTGGCCGGCCGCACTCACCGTGGCCACATCGGCTTTCCTCTTGCGGGTGCGCATGGCTCCGCTGCCCTCGGCGCGGGCCAGAGATAACTTGGGGTCACAGTTACGGATGAGGGGCACACACACCGCCCGTGACAGACCCACGCTGGCCACCCGGGCAGCCACATGGCCCCGGGCGCCCCACAAAGGCGGCGAGGCCGGGCCTGGCCGGCCGCACTCACCGTGGCCACATCGGCTTTCCTCTTGCGGGTGCGCATGGCTCCGCTGCCCTCGGCGCGGGCGGGCGCCGGCTCCTCGGGCTGGTCGCTGTCGAGAGAGAGGAG